GTGAGGGCTCCGTCCCCCAGACTGTCCTTCCCAGGACACTAGTGGCAAGTCCAGGCCTCTGGAACTTCTAACTGGCTGGCTTCAAGTTAGAGTGCCCGTGACTCTCTCTTTGGGTTTGATTAACTTGCTGGAGGGGCTCACAGAACTCAAGAAAACACATGTGCTGGTTTATTACCAAAGGGCACAAAGAGATGTGTAGGGCAAGGTTATGGGGAAGAGGTACCGAGCCTCCAGGCCCTCCCTAGGCACCACCCTCCAGGAACCTCCACATGTTCAGACCCCAATCCAGTTCTCTTCGTGATGTCTAGGGCAGGACCCACTCTGGGAGGGTCTTAAGTCCCACAGTCAGAAAGATAGAGGGGGAGAGGCTGTGGAGATTAAGAGCAAGGAACTGTTCATGCCATAACACTTCTAGGGGTGTAGGCCCCTGGGGATGAGGGTGGATCCCCCTCGAGGTGAGCCCCCTGGGCCAGCAGAAGGGCTCGTTCCCAGGAATCCTGACCAACCAGGATGCTGGAGAAGCTGTGCCTGGACAGAGTGAATATGAGAAGCACGTGGATCTGAAGGCACAAGGGGCGGACCGTAGTGAATGCTTTGGGTCCCAGCTAGGCCCCTTTCCGGGAATGCACCACCAGACCCCAGCTGCCATGATGGTCTCTCATCTGCCCCCTCCTAGAGAAAATAGCCCTTGGCTGAACAGAAGCTGTCTTGTCTGGGGTGTCACACCCCTCCCATCGCTGCCCAGGGACTGCCTACAGCCGAGACCAACTTACTAGGGCTGTAAAAGGCTGGGGCTCAGGGTAGGAGCGGTGTGGACCAACTCCATGGGGCAGTTTGTGCTCCAGGACGCCCGTGGCATCTGGTGGAAACAAAAAGTCCCACTGAGACCACACCCTTGCCTAACCCTCTCCCTGACTCCCATTCTCTGGAGTGCTCTCCCTTACTGATCATGGACACCAGAATTCCTTTGCTTCTACGGAACCCAACCCTAGACACCTGTCACACTTTCCAGGTGGCTACCACTCCTCTCCATGAATCTGAGTCTGATGTCTCAACAGTTAGCATCCTGCGTTTTGGAACCAGACAGATTCCTCTTGCAGCTCAGACACTCCCTGTGTGACCTTAGGCAAGTTACAACCCCTCCCTGAGCCTCAGCTTGCCTTTTGGTGCAGGATTTCTGTGGATCTTAAGAGACAAGGCACACTGAGTGCCCAGCACACAATTTCCGGCTGCTCAGGACACAACAGGGCTCCTTCCTCCAGGAAGCTTTCTCTGACCACCTCTGTGCACTGGGTTTGTTCTTCCTCAGGACCCCCAAACCTGATCCATCTACCATTCACAGGGCCTCAACCTATAAGGCCTGAGGGCTTCAACCTTTTTTCCTGGGATCAGAGAAACCTTCCAAAGTGCATGGTGAGTGTCCAGATGACAGGGCCTAATCCCCACATCATGGAGATCTTTGTGGCCCATGTTGACAATGGGAGTTAGGCCTGAGGGCCCCAGAGTGTCTCAGTCCTGTGTGACAAGGCCCGCAGGTGGGTTTGGGCCCAGGTAGAAGTTATGAGTGGCAGGGACAGTTGGGCGGAGCCCCTGTTCACAGGACTTACCACCTCCACTAGTTTCCTCAGGGGTTCAGGGAGGGATCTCCTGGAAGAAAAAAGCCTGGGAGTGTGGTCCTCAGGGAGGGTCAAGGACCAGCTCCATGGAAGCCAATATGTAAGACAGAGTAGCCAGGCTGGGGGCTCTGAAAATGAACTTAGCACTGAGAGCAGAGGGAGGAAGATAGCTCACTACACTTGCCATGGACTCCCTTGGACGACGAGGGTTGCCTGGGACCCCGTCCTGTCCTGTCCCCTTGTGCTGTGGATTTGCTTGGGGAACAATGGCTGCAAGTGTGTGTGAGCCCAGAGCACTGTGTCACCAGAAGCCGAAGCACGAGGCCCCTTCACAGGATACCCTTTAACACTGGTGTAGCACCTTGGAAAAAATCAGAGCTGTCTACACATCACTGAGTCTCAGCAGGACTATAGGGCCCACATTAAAACAGTGTCTATAGTGTGGCAGCCCCACTGGTGGCAGCAACCACATGGGTCCCTTCCCTGACCCTGCCCCAGAGCCCTGCTAGGGCCTATATTGGCCAAGAGTAGAAGCTGGAAGTCCCTCAAACTAAGCAGCCCCCTGTGGCCTGTGGATGGGAAACCAGGGACCAGGAAGTGTTATTGTAGGGCCCTGTGAGGCCCTGGTGGAGGGGAACTCTTACGGGGAGGGGTGGATGACAGGTGGAGTCATTCTGAGGAGAGGGCCATGGAGAGGTGGCATGTGGTGGTCTGCCCCTGGCGGCCCCCCACCTGTCATGCCCTCTGTACACCTCTCTGGGAAGTCTCTCCATGCCCCATTGGCTTTGCTTATGACCCACATTTGTCTCCAGAGAGGACCTACGCCTCAGGCCCATTTATCCACTGGGCCACTGGACACCTCTGCCATGGAACCCAAGATCTCCTCCAGCTCACGAGCTCCAAACAGAACTCCTAGTCCCTCCTCAAGCCAGTTTCTCCTGTTCCTGTGTTCCCATTCTATGACTGACAGTCAACAGCCATGGTCATCCTAGGCTCTCCCTCACCCTCACCCCATAGTCATCCTCACCAACTCCACCTCCTAAATCGATCACAACCAGCACCACTTCCCCAGGCCAGGCCAGACCACTGCCTGGACCCTTTGTTTGGCAAGTGCCAGTGAATGTTTCTAGGCTTGAGGGGTGGCTGAATGAATGGATGGGTGGGTGGGTGAATGGATGGATGGATGAGTGGATGGATGGGTGGTTGAATGGGCTGGTAAATGAATGATGGATGGATGGACGGACAGATGATTGGATGGGTGGGAGGATGAAAGGAAGGAAGGAAGGAAAGGTGGGTGAGTGGGTGGGATGAACTGATGATGGATAGATTGATGGATAGATGGATGAATGGATGGATAGATGGATGGGTGGGTGAACAGATGGATGGATAGGGGAGTGGGTGGGTGGACGGGTGGACGGATGGGTAGGCAGATGGATGGATGAATGGTGGGCGAATGGATGGACAGATGGATGGATGGGTGGGTGGGTGGATGGATGGATGAAAATAGACGAACTTTCACAGCTTGGGGTCTTTGAGACTAGGGTCATTATACCCCCCAGTGCTTTTCTCAGGCACTGCCTGGACCCTTTGTTTGGCAAAGGCTAAGCTGAATGTGCCTCTTCCAGGAAGAGTCCAGATCTAAGGCCTCTGGAGGTGCTCTGTTTTGCAAGATTGGGCAGTCAAGGTATTTGAACACAAGAGGGTCTGAGCTACTACCCCTGAGACCCTCCACCCCCAGAGAAGCTGAAGCAAACATCGGGATGCCAGCCATGGCCACATGGGAGGTCTTTGGCCTCCAATCTCCATCCGGGACTCAGCATTCCATGGGAGGATGCCACTCCTCCCCCACGTGTCCCACGCCACACCCAGAGATGCACAAGGAAGAAGCGCCACGTGGACGTCTTTTTCTTTTTACAAAGACTTTATTGTCTGACATGCTTGACAAAAAAAATTACAGCCACAATCAAGTTATGCCAAAATGATTGAGGAGCACGCCGTCATCTTTCATACCTCAAGGACTTTTAATGAATTTTCTCTTAAAGTAACAGCTGCCTTCATAACTTTTCTTTTCCACATAAAAATACACCATATTCTGAAGATACCTTAGGAAAAAAAATTTTTTTAAGTTTATAGTTCTTGGTCCACATAGAAATTGAGTGGAGGCGGCACTGAAAGGGCCTGTGTTTACTCCACTACACACACACACACCCCATGCCTGAGGCATCCGAGAGCCCTCGTGAACATCCCGGACCACCAGGAACCACTTTAACTAATGGGATTCCAGAAACCCTGCACTCACGGTACCCCGTCTCGGCCAACCCACACGGTGCCGCTGCCAGGCTCCCCAGCAGGAAAGACCTCACGGTCTCCTAGGATACTGAGATGCTGTGTTCAGAGTTGAGGACTCCTCAGAACTCAGACCAGTCTTGAACAGGACCCATAACAAACAAAACGAGAGCCCCAGACCATGCACTGCTTTGTAGGGACATAACTCTGGGTCATGGCAAAGCAAGGGCTGTGAAGCCAGAGGTCAAAGTCCAAACCTTATCTCTGCCTCTTTTGTGCTGTGCGCCCCCAGACAAGGTACCTTCCTGCTTTGGCCTCAACTGTCTCATCTCTGAAATGGGGGACAACATACCTACCTTGAAGGAGCATCTGTGGATGAAACGAGATTACATTTGCAAAAGGGATCACTGTAGGTTGGTTCCCAGAGCTGGGACCAGGGTGAGGGAGTGAGCTCCCCCCCAGTTCAGATGCATGATTTAAAGGGGATGCAAAAAGAATCACTAATCAGGACAAATAATACTACCCTCACACACTGTTTGTTCAAAATCAAAATGAATGCCAGAAAAATCCATGATGAACGAAATTTTAAATAAAGACAGAACCTGGTGCTGCGCTTACTTGCCCGACCCCGCCTCACTGCTTCCCCCAGGCCCTGCTGGTTCCTCCCCCTCAGAGACTAAGCCCACCACTAACCCACCACCAATCCTCACTCAAAGGAGGAAAAGAAGCTGTCCAGGGCCCACACCTGTACCACCCTCCTGTTAACAGGGCCGGCTGGAACTAGGGCAACAGGATTTTGAACCCCTTAGGCTCCCTCAGTGTGAGCATGCCGGACAGAACCTGAACGGTGCAAGGGAAATTGCACCAAGGAACAGAACTCTACTGCAGGGCAGTAATGAGAAACATAGAACCCACTTCATTAAATTAAGAGGAGTTTCAGCCTAGCCAACATAGTAAGACCCCATTTCTACCAAAAAAGTGAAAAAAAATCAGGCATGGTGGTGCTTGCCTATAGTCCCAGCTACTCAGGAAGCTGAGGCAGGAGGATCATTTGAGCCCAGGAGTTCAAGGCTGCAGCAAGCTATGACCATGCCACTTCACGCCAGTCTGGGGGACAGAGTGAGACCCTGTCTCTTAAAAAAGAAGAGGGGTGCGTGTGCATGTATGCATACGTACAAAGACATGGGCGCCCACAGGGCTGCCGCAGCCTCAGTCTGCAGACCCTCCAGGATGTTGAGTTCTGAAGAGCATCACAGTCTCTGTGGGACCAAGGGTTAGCCCACCATGACTAGCAGCCCTCCTGCTGGTCTTGAGCACTCGAATGGCTCATTCTGTAGAACCAACTCCCACAATCCAGGCCCCGAGTGAAAGCCTGGGATGCTAGGACCATTGTTCAAGTCAGCAGAAATACCCATGGGAAGAAAAGAGGGGAACAATACCAGGAAAACTGCTGTGGGCCCAGCCAGGTGCTGTCTGAATTCCTGAGATGTCACTAAACATTCCCTCAGAAGGCCTCCGCCTGGAGCAGGCCTGTCTCCTCTCTGGCCTGGGAGGACAGCAAGGGCTGTCTGAGCCCAGCCTACAAAACCTCCCACCTGCTCCCAGCCCTGGGCTTGCAGCCACACAAACTCTCGATCAGAGGGAGATTTTGTGCAAGAACTTCCAGACCTATCCAAGACCAGTGGCTTCCCAGGCCAGGAGGGTGTCTAACTGAGAAGGATGACGATTCAGTCACTCCCCAAGCAAGAAGGAGCCGTGAGCTTATTAGGTCCTTTGATGAGGTACACACGGGATGTACACGCAGAAAAACAAATGAGCACAGAACCCTTGATGGGGACACACAGGGTCCCGACTCCAGATGACAAAAGGCTGAAGAATCGTCCCAAGGCCTCAACCCATCTGCTGGGCCAGTCCCGGCGGCCAGACGGGTCATTTGGGTCATCCTGCGTGGAAGGAAAGGAGGTTGGGCCAGGCATATGGAGCTGAGCACCTGGCGGGTGGGCAGGGCTGGGACAGCAGGGAGCAGTCAGGAGTTCCGGGGCGTGGGGAGGTCGATGACTATGGGTGGGTTCACGGGCTGGTAGTTCACAGTGCACACGGATGCATTCACATAGGTGGTCGTCCCATCTGCCATGACGCCGTACCCTGGAAAGTAAGCACACGCCTGTCAGGCCAGGATGTGGTGCAGCGAGGACGAGTGGGTGGGTGTGGTGGTGAGAAGTAGTCTGGAGGGTCTATGGTCGTCAGAGGGTGCTTGGCCACAATAGGCTGGATGTGTCTGGAGCAAGCTACTGAAACCCTCTGTAAAACGGTGGTGATGGCGAGGGGTGCCACTTCCAAGCATGCAGTGAGGATTCAATGAGACAATCGTCCATGTTCAGTGCTTAGCCCAGTGCCTGGCGTGGGAGAAGCCCTCAGTGGGTCGTCGTCAACGACATCGTCTCCACCATCATCCTCACCATCATCACCATATCATGACTATCACCACCGTCATCGCCGTCAACATCAACATCATCCTCCCCATCCCCCCCGTCCTCATCATCTCCATCACCACCCTTATCATGATCATAGCATAATCATCACCATGATCACCACCACCACCGCCGCCACCGTGTCACCATCATTGTCATCACCTCTTCCGACCACCTCTGCCTGTTAGAAGCCCTTGTCGCTACCCTTGTCATCATCATCATCACTACTTTCGTCACCACCACCACCACCACCACCATCACCCTCATCGCTGATGTCATCACTGTCGTCCCCATCAATACCGTTGTCATCATCTTCACCCTCATAGCTGTATCACCACCACCAATATCGCTGTCACTGTCCAACCATCTCTACTTCTTAGAATCCCGTCATCCTTCAATCCAGGTGACCTCTACGCTAGAAGGGACATTCCCCTCCCCTTTGCAGGGGAGGTAGGAAGTAGTTATCAGGCTCCTATTCTTTGGAGGGCCACCCTCCATATTTGGAGTCACATTTTGCCTGTACAATTGTGCAGGGGCATGGTTTGGGTCACAGACGACCTTGGATCTGATGAAGCTGCATGCCCACAGGGGGACCACAGAAAATGACAACCGTTATTATTATCTTACAGCACATGAGCTGTCCATCTCTCCCACGACCTCTCAGATTCTGCCTCTGATTACTCATCTCCTGCCCAGAAGTCTAGGAGTACCTCCAGGGCCAGGAGAGGTCTGATCACTCCTGCTCCTTGCCGGTGAGCTGCAGAGGTCCTCAGGGAATGGTTTGAGGCTTGTTTGCTTCTGAGCTGGAGAATGATCTGATGTGGACCGGAGGCCCACGGGCCCCGGCCCAGCCACAGACGTTCAAAAGGCAGGGAGATGCCTCTGGGGAAACCATGTAAGTCCTCCCACCCCACAGCAGCCAATATGCTTCCTGGAGGGGATGTGACAGGGAGGCCTTGGGCAGATGGATAAATGTTCAAAAGGAGCAAAAAGAGGGGTCTGTGCCAAACTGGTGAAATCAGGCTCCAGTGAGGATGCCTGAGGTCTAATAGGGAAAGCCTGCAAGCAGCAACAGGCTAGGGTATGGCAGCGTGGGTGGTCAGAACTGGAGCCAATGTCACCCTCACTATCACAGGCAGTCCCTCTACATGTATTAAGCACCTACTATATTCCAGGCCCTGGGGATACAAACAACAAGTCCGGATCACCAGCATTAAGGAATTCATAGTGTATCCACCAAATCTAATCTCTTCATGTCATGTTCCAAATGTCCTCTCCTGAAAATGTCCCAGACTAGAGGCTCGGCAGAGTCACAGGGCTCCAAGGAACCAAAATTTACCCCCTAAGTTCATGAAATTCCATACTCATCTTCCTACTACTAAACATTTCAGCAATAGCTCCTTGGTAGCCAATGTGTGTATATGGCATTTACAAAATGAAACGCTGAAATGGTTATTTCTAGCCAGGCATGGTGGGTCAAGTCTGTAATTTCAGTACTCTGGGAGGCCGAGGTGAGAGGATTGCCTAAGCCCAGGAGTTCAAGACCAGCTTGGGCAACATGGCGAGACCTCATCTCTACAATAAATTTTTTAAAAAAATTATGTGGTAGTGCATGCCTGTAGTTCCAGCTACTCGGAAGCCTGAGGCAGAAGGATCGCCTGAGTCCAGCAGGTCAAGGCTGCGATGGCCAGGAGTGTGCCACTGCACTCTGGCCTGGGCGACAAAGTGAGACTCCAACTCAAAAAAAAAAGAAATGGCTATTTCCCTTCTGGCCAAAGGGAGGAGAGGGCCCTCTGAAGGGTCAATTTGGAACCCCGGCTGAGGTCCCCACCCCCACCACGCACTGACCTTCGTGGATGTGGCCGAAGACGTGAAGCCGCGGCTGGACACGCCTCTGCACTGTGTTCAGCAGCTCCACGCAGCCCACCCGCTGCATCTTCTTGGGGACCCAGTCCAGGAAGCCTGTGCAGGGGAGACAAGAGGAGGGCTGTGACAGGGTCCATGCAGCCCCTCACCCTCAGGCAGAGGCTCCTGCTGCCTCAAGAGACACGTGGCTCCTGGGCTCAGGCCTGGCGAGACTCTCCTAGAGCAAGCTCTCCGAAACCCTGCCCAGCCTCAGGCTCCAGGATGGGAACCACCCAGGGCCTGCAGCCTTGCCCTTCTCTGGAGGGCTGCTCAGAGAGCCTCCCTGGAAGAACCTGTCGGGGGCCAGGCACCTGGGGTGGGGTGCTCGGAAACTGCTAGCATCCCCAGATCATTCACACCAAAGTGGCCATGAGGTTGGTAGCCACTCACACAGAGAGAAGTAAACTGAGGCAGGAGAGTGCTGGGTGGGCCTGCCCTCCCCCCCACCACCACAACACACAGCTCAGGAGCAAGATCTGCATGTGGGAAACTTTCTAAACACCACAGAATCCTGAGCACGAATCCCCCCGTCAGTGCAACCACGTTCACGTGGCCACGTCTGTATCGTTCCCACCACCGCCTCCCAGAGCCGCCCAGATGGCGGCCGCCTATTATCTGCACATGGCTACACAAACGAAGAATAATTGATGACTCCAAGCGAACAATTAGGGTTCGTGTCGGCCCCTCTCTGTTTGGGTGGGCAAAACAGGTTTCTGCAACTGCCAGGAAGGGGAAAGGGGGAGCTTCGACTCAAAAGAACCAGGCAGGCTGCAATTGACTTAAAGAGGACAGACAGACATAGACAGAAATAGAGACAGAGAAATGAGGGAGGAGGAAGAGGAGGGGAAAGCAGAAGAGAAAGGTGGGGAACGGGTAGGGCATAGGCTTGGGGCAGACACTGGGTTTAAATCCCAGGCTCTGCTGCCTACTGGTTGTATGACCTTAGACAAGTCACTTAACCTCTCTGTGCCTCTGTTTCACCCAACAATTAGAGGTGCTGGGCTGGATACTGGGAGGCCACCACACGGGAGACTGGGCCCCTTCTCAATTCCCTGTGTGTGTGCTGGAGTGGAGGCTGGGTCCCGCTGGTGCTCACAGTCTGGCCGCCAACACCAAATGCTGACGGGAACGAGTCGCCGTGCTCAGGAGGCTTCCAGTCTGGCTTCAACTCACTGGGCTACGTGAACCTCCGCCGAGCCCTGGGCCTCAGCCTGAGCCTCAGGCCTCGCCACCTTGAAGATGGGGCTAGCAGAGCCTCCCTTTCCTGGACTTTATGGGGGGGGTGGTGCCCGGGGACACTGGCTGGGTGGGAAGGGTGCAGTGGGTGTCAGGAGCTTCTTCCTGAACAGCAAGCATGTAAGCTGTGCTGGGCCTCCCCCTACAGCCTATCCCACGGCCTCCTGCCTGGGACGCCCTGCCCTTCTCCTTCCCTGCCTCCCCTAGACCCAATTCTGGTGTCATCCCCTCTGGAAGCTTCCCAGGCCTCCTCTGACGGCAGTCACCTCTCCCTCTGATTCCCCAAGCCTCCCTCATCCCTGAATATGTCCCACTAAACTTGGCCATTCCCAAACCCTCTCTCCTGAAGCCTGCGAGCCCCTCCAGGCAAGCACTGAACAGGGTTGATCCCTGGTCCAGTGCTGCTCCGCACAGGTGCAGTCCTAAGTACTGAGCGAGTGATGGCGGGTTCCTGGAGACCTTGGTGAGAGCAAGAGGCTGGTCTGGGCTAGACTTCCAGGAATGGGAACTTAATGCTAAGGACTGAGGGAGCCACAGAGCTATAGAAAGATGGAGTGGTACACGTGAGGACACAGAGACCGTCCCCCTACGGACGTGAGGAGAGTGGGCTGGAAGGGGCAAGACAGGACTGAGGGCAAGGAGCTAGAGGACAGTTGGGGTAGGATGGACATGCTGATGGACAAGATGTGGATGTGAGGACACGAGAGGGGAGAATGGGAGAAGCCCCAGATCAAACAATGGGGGGCGAGGGTGGGGAAGGAAGTAGTTTGCAGGTGAGTGACAACCTCAACTTAGACCAGGGTGGAAAGACAGGGATGGAGAGGAGAGATGCTGGGAGGTGGACTCCTCAGGCCCCAGGGACCACTGCGATGGCTTAAGGGAGAGGCAGGAGGGCCTCTGGGCTTCTGGTTTTGGGGTGTGCTGTCCAGGCGACGCCCTGTAGCAGGGGCCCTGGTGTATTCACCCCCCAGGATCAGGTCTGCAGAGTCAAGGGCCTGAGCTCCAAGTCGTCATGTGCAAAATGGGTGGGTGATGCTGCCCTCCCGCACTGCTGTCGGGAGCCCATGAGGTAACAAGTCGAGGTCCAGCACACAGTAGGTGCCCAGAAAGTAAGGAGGACAATGGGGTAACCAGTCCCCAATGCCCCAGCAAGTGGACTCAGACCAGAGCCCGTCCTGGACTCCTCTTGACAGGCCCAGTCAGTCAGCCAGCTCCCCGCCCATGAGTCCCACACCCCAGCCCAGGCAGGCGAGCTGGGGCGCCGGGCCGGCAGACTCTTACCCAGCGGCGGTCCATGGGTTATCAGGATGTCTACGCCTTCGGGAATGAGATTCCACTTCTCCAGCAGGGCTTGGCCTCGTGGGAGGTTAAAGCCCCAGCCGTAAAACCAGGGCTGCCTATGGGAGAAGAGCAGGTGGTTGAGGACCTCCTGTGAGAATGGGAGGCCATCGCAGGGAGGGGGGCCCACCACGGGGTCAGGTGGCCATCAGGACCAGCTCTCTGCCTGGAAACCCAAATCCAGGGATGGTGGGGACTTGGACCAGAACGCTGAACAGCTGGCGAGCCGTGGGGTCACCAGGCAATTATCTGTCCTGCTTCCTGTCACTTACCTGCAGTTTCTATTTTCTATGATAAATAGGTATCACTTACATAACAAAATAGAAAGCAGATATATATACATCAGTTTCTTCCAAAGACCTTTCTTGCTCCAAGCCTTCCTAAGGAAATCCATAGAGAAGAACATTCCCCACTGCCCTCACCCCTGGGAAAATGCCCCTCCCTCCCCCCACCAGGTGGGGTGGTAGAACCCAATCAAGAGGGAGTGGATCCCAGGTGGGGAACACTCACTTCCTGCTCCCACCTGAAGTTCCAGACCAGGGAGTCCAGGTAGGGCTGAGTGAGGAGGAGGGAGGGGCCAGGGAGCAAATGGACCCAGGCCATTAACATAATCCCAAACTGTTACCAGCTCAGACCTAGACCCTTTGATGCAAGTTTTTCCCCTGAATTCATTCCATGGTGAGCACGTGACCTAGATTCTTCCAATGGGAGGGAAACGCAGACTCTTCCAGTGATGAGAAAAGAGGGTGCCATGGTCTCTGTGTAGAAACCAGTGAGCTTCTAGCCTTGGGAGCTGCAAGCTATCCCAAGGGACAGCTGGACCAACTGAACCAGATAGCTACCATAGCTCGGTTATGCAGGCCAATATAAAGCCATTTGAATTGGGTTTTCAGTCATTTACAACAAGAACATTCTGACTGAAGTTTCAGAATCATCCCTTAGAACTAAGTCATTATGGCCAGGCATGGTGGCTCAAGCCTGTAATCCCAACAGTTTGGAAGGCCAAGGCTAGAGTCCAGGGTAACTTGGCGAGACCTCACCTCTACAATAAATCAAAAAATTAGCCGAGCATGGTAGCGCACACTTATAGTTCCAGCTACTTGGAAAGCTGAAGCAGAAGAATTGCCGGAGCCCAATAGGTCAAGGCTGTGGTGGCCATGAGCATGCCACTGCACTGCAGCCTGGGCAACAGAGTGAGACTCCAATTCAAAGAAGAAAAAAAAATTAAGTCATTATATAATCCCACAAAAACACCATCCTTTAGAGTTGACAAAGTCACCATCATCATCACCTACGCCATGGCCACCACCACTGTTATGACCTGAATGTTTGTGTACCCCTAAAATTCTTATTTTGAAAGCTAATCTTCAAGGAGACAGTATTAGGAGGCAGGGTCTCTGCGAGGTGATTAGGTCATGAGGGTGGAGCACTCATGAATGGGGTCAGTGTTCCTATAAGAAGAAACATGAGGGTGACCCTCACTCCTTCTACCATGTAAGGACACGGCAAGAGAATGCCATCTATGAATACAGAAGTGGGTCTTTACTAGACACCAGATCTGCCCACACCTTGATCTTGGACTTCCAGCTTCCAGATTGTGGGAGGCAAATGTCTGTTGTGTATAAGCCACCCAGTCTATGGTATTTGCTGTAGCAGCCTGAACAGACTGAGACAATCACCATTACCATCATCACTGCTGTGGATCATTTGTGTTCCCCAAAAAATGTGTTACTAACCCCTAGGGCATGACCTTATCTAGAAAGAGGTTCTTTGTAGATGGAATCAAGTTAAGACAAGGTCACACTGGATTAGTGCAGACCCTACATCCAACGCCTGGTGTCCTTATAAGAGAGGGCTATGTAAGAACCAGAGACACAGGCAGAGGGACGGACACCAGGTGACAATGCAGGTAGGCACTGAAATGATGCTTCTACAAGCCAAGGAATGGCAAGGACAGCTTCAACCATCAGAAGCTGGGAAGGATGCACAGGCAGATTTTCTCCAAACAGAAACCAGCCTTGCTGAGAACTTTCCAGACTCCTGGCCTCCAGAACCATGAAATAATAAATTCCTGTTGTTTTAAGCCAGTCAGTTTGGGCTAATTAGTGACAGAGCCCTACACACTAACACAATCACCATCACCATCATCACATCCCAATGCTGCTGCAGGGACCTCTACCCCTGCAGCAAAGTTGGCCAGACAGGTCTCCTTCACTCTGTTTCATGGATGAAGACACTGAGGACCAGGAACTAGAAAATAAAAGTCACCAGCATTTTCTGTGCACCTACATTTTTGCCCCACCCCAAATAAGCACATTGGGGTTTGGGATCAGTTCATTGTTACCAAGAGCCCTCTGAAGTAAGGACTAGTCTTTCCATTTTACAGATCAGGAGCCCGAAGCTTAGAGAGGCAAGATGACAAAGGATTTGGCTCCGGTGTGCTGGCCCCAGGCATGGTGTCTCCCTTACTCTTCTGCCAACTCACAATGCACAAGTTGGTTTGGGATGGGGGTGGGCTTTGCCCTCACAGCCTCTCATATGCCCATAACTGCCACTTAAATCCCTCCCCTGGCCCATGTGCTACTCCATGGGACAGCTGGGATTCCTGGCTGTTCACTCAGTGGCTCCACCCTGTTGGCAGCCACCCAATGCACCTCCTTGGGGCCCCAGGAAGTCTATGGAACGCTGTTTAAAAACCCTTCATCCCACCCTGCAGGTTCTAGACTGGAAGACTGAGGTTTGGTGAGGGGAAGGGAGGTGCCCAGGGTTACACGGTGAATCAGTGACGTCATCTTCAGACCCAGATCTGATGCTCTCTCCTTCTGGTCTTTGATCCTGCAGTGCCATCTCATGGGACACAGGCTTACAACGGAGGTGGATGGGTGACCACACTGGTCACTTGGGGTTAAAGGTTCTTTCATTGTTTCAGACACTAGCCTAGGAGAGGAGCAAATAAATGCTTAATGAATGATGGTGAGTGAAGAGGACCGAACTGACACTGAATTGATGAGTCCACAGGATGTTGAATAGGATTTGACCTGTCACCTTGAGATTGCAGCCAAAACTGCAAAGCAGAAACTGACCTTCCCCTCTCATTCAAAAGAAGACACTGAGGACACATCACACACATACACACAGGGTTTTACACCCAACATCAAGGTCACCAACCCCACACTACACCCCAGGAGCACTTACTTAGAGCAGGTAGAACACACCAGATCACCATCTCCCCAGTCCCCTACCAGCCTAAGCTCTTGACCTTGGAGAAGAGGGCTGTGGCTCCAACCTGGTTCTTATAAGAGAAGGTGAGGAGGTCTCCCACACCCAGCTGTGAGTGGGCTCCAGAAGAATCCCTTGCACAGGTGGGGAAGAAGTCTGGCCCTCACTTCCTCCCTGGCCCTAGGGATCGGCCCTCTAGGCCTGTGAGAGGAGAAACAATGAGGGACAGGGCACAGAGTGGCTGCCTGCACCCCCGGCTGTGGGTCCTCCTGAGGGATATCCACCCACAGGAAGTACCCACCAAACGAGGAGAACAAGTGGTCAGGGCTGGGAAGCGGCACCAGGGACAAGAGGTGATTCCGTCAGGGGCACCTCCTCCCTCAGAATCTCCACACAGGCCTGACCTTGCACATACTGCAGAAAGTGAAGGGTTCTCCTTGCAAAAATACACCACACACACCCTCACACACAAACACACAGGATTTTACACCCAACTTCAAGGGAATCTTGGGGTCAGCCCTGGGTTAGAATGGTCCACCTCTTACTGCCTTTATGACTATGAGCAAAGAACTTGTCTCTACGCCTCAAGTCACATGTCTATAAAGTGATGGTTACAAAACCACCTGCCTCAACAGGGTTTTTGAGAGGATTAAATCCGTTAAGTCACATAAAGTGCTTAAAACAGTGCCTGGTTCACAGTAAGCACTCAGTGTGCTGCAGTTGCCATCATTATTCTATCACCTCCATCACCCACACCATCCCTGTCATCACCACCCCCACCCTCGTCACCACTGTCACCACGACCATCCCTACCATCACCCCACCACCTCCATCGCCCACCCCATTCCTGTCATCACCACCACCATCTCCATCACCAGTCACCACTACCGTCCCATCATCACCATCCCATCACCTTCATCACCTGTATCATCCCTATCATCATCGCCACCAGCATCTCATCACCTCCATTACCACCACCACCACCACCACCAACATCATCCCATCACCTCCATCGTCTACACCATCCCTATCATAACTGCCACCCTAACCACCATCCTCTCCATCACCACTGTCACCACCACCATCACCGGCCTCACCACCCTCCATCACTACTGTCACCGCTACCATCCCCATCACCTTCATCATCATCATCATCCCTAGCACCTGCACCATTCCTGTCATCACCACCACCCTCCCCATCACCAGCATCACCTCCATCACTATCACCACCACCATCACCATGATTATCCCGGACCCCTGCTGAGGCCCATCCATAGGGCCTGGCTGAAAAACCTTTGGCCTAGGGCGGGATCTTTCAAACTACATTTTGATGGGTGGCAACAGTTTTGTTTTTTGGTTTTTGTTTTTTTTTGAGATGGAGTCTCGCTCTGTCGCCCAGACTGGAGTGCAGTGGCCGCTCCCGGCCACCGCAGCCTCGACCTGCTGGGCTCCGGCGATCCTTCTGCCTCAGCCTTCCGAGTAGCTGAAATTACAGGCATGCGCTACCACGCCCGGCTGAGTTTTTGATTTATTGTAGAGTTGAGGTCTCGCTGCCCAGGCAGGTCTCGAACCCGCGGGCTCAGGCAATCCACTCACCTCAGCCTCCCCCAAAGGCGCGGGATTACAGGCTGAGCCACAAGAATAGGAAACATCAGAGCCCTTCGGGGTAGCAAAGGGATCCTCCAGTTAAACATATTTCTATTTAAATAGACACCCACATCTGTGTACACTGGGGCGCAATGTCAAGTGCTTTCCTACCACGGTTCTTGGTGGAGGACCTGGCTGACAGCCTCTCACCCAGTGGCTCCCTGAGGCTACTCCAGCTCTAACCTTCCGAGCT